TGTTTGCCTGAATTTGTATATATATATATATATATATATATAGTGTTTTATAAGATCATTGTACAGAAGAATGCCTTATATGACAAAGTTAAAATTTATGCTTTTTTATTTTTCAATGGACATTTAATTTTCCTCCAGTTTTTCATTATCATGATCTCTTTTTGCAACAATCAGACTTGGCCACACTACTGAAGACAGAGGGAATAAGCTCTCAAAGGAATACTGCTAGAAGCATTAATTATAGAGTACAGATTTTGGTCTTCTCTGGAGAGTACCAATTGTTCTCCAAGAGAAGATGAGTCTGACTCATTCTCATTTCTGCATATTTTTGCCAACACATAGTATTTCACTATTTGAAAGTTTTGTCTATCTGATGACTTGAAAGTGGTATCTTTGGATTTTAATGTGCTGGTTATTGATTGTTAGTAAATTTGGCCATTGTTTTGATGTTTATTGGCCTTCTGGGTATTTTCTATAAATTGCATATGTGCATGCCTTATTTCCAGATAAATTACTTGCTCTTTCCTATTATTTTATGGTCACAAGAAACCCCTCCTCCTCCATTCTCTCAGGATTTGGGGCACACACACATACCTTTGTGATTTTCATGACACCAAGACTGGGACTCAAACCATGCTGTTGGCCATGTGGGATCCAGGCCTTGATTACACAACCACCTGCTGGCCCCAGAAATGACTGTATATCCTATTAATATGTCTCCTGAGACTATATTTTCTTTTTCAATATTGTTGCATTTGTCTCATAAAAAAATTTAATTTCATGCAGTCACATTATCAATAACTTTTTCCTCAAGCTTTTGCTTTTTTGGCTTAAGTAATTGCTCCTTGACCATGTCATAGAATACCAGGATTTCTTTGGAATATAAGAAGTTCTGATGATCACATTTTGGATTTTGATTCACCTGAATTTTACTTTTTGTACATAGAACTAAGTGGCCCTATAAGTATGTGGCTTTGACTCTTTCACTGTAATTTCCCCCTAGTCTTTCCTTTTCTGCTGATGTGTGGTGCCACTCTGATATGTTCTGGTCACCGTTCATTCATGGGCTGGTTCTCTTCCTCTGATGTGTTTGCTATCAGTGAGCAAGGCTTTCTTTTAATGGTTATAATGTCATAAAAATCTCAATTTCTATAAAGTTTCTAATCTATTTTTTGCCTTTTCTTCTTAAAAAGAGCTTTAGTTTTTGAAGCTCTTCAGGAGAGTTTGGTACTTTACTGAGTCCTCTTATCACTGTATTTTACATCTATCCTACTACTCTCATTTCCTTTATATCCACAAATAGCAAGACTATTTTTCAAAAAGTTCTCTTTCCTGGGACCAGCAGTTAGCGTAATGGCTATGTCGCTGGACGCCCATGTAGCCGACCGTGGTTCGAGTCTCGGACCAGTTGCTTAAACTCACGCCAGGAGCATGTGTGTGCGTGTCCAAGATCACGAGAGGAGACTGGAGGAGAAGGGACTGTGGTGTGGCCATCCCCCCTAGGGGGTGATTTCTCATATAGACAGTTAAAATGATGACTTTTGACTTTTTTAGTTTTATCATTATTCTGTGTTTACTAGCTCCCAGTATTTTAAAGCAAAAAACAAACAAAAAAACAAACAAACAAACAAAAAACACCTTTCTGATCAATGTTTTCTTTGGCAGTAGAAAGATACTTTAGAAATGCAGAGCACTGAGAAATCTGCAGAAAATTTTCTAATATATATAATTTCTTAAATATTTAAATCAACAACTTTTTACCAGTATACATTTAGCTGAAGGTGGGCAAAGAGTCTTCTCTCCTTTGGTGATTCACTGACCAACTCTTACAGCTGATGCATGTACACATCAAAGACATCTAATGTGCCCAACCTGTCTCTACAGGGAAGGAGTGGATAGCTGCCCAGACCTCCATGGTCCTCTGGGAAAAGGGAAAGGTAATGCTATATGTGAGCAATATCATAGAAGTTTCCATTTATTTGTGTCTTTTAAGATACAAATCTACTAGAGTAAAAATCAAAATAGTTGTCAGGAATTTGGGGAACATGACTAACTAAGGTCACAAGTGAGAATTCATGGCTGGGCATCTAATTAATCCAAGTAACAATAGAACATCAGTAATGTGATTAGGTGAAAACAATCTTAGAAACCTTTGTTTTTCTTCCCATGGATAATTCAACCAAAGCTTGAAAAGTGGGACCAGCAGTTGGCATAATGTCTACGTCGCTGAATTCTCATGTAAGTGACCATGGTTCAAGTCCCAGACCCAGTGACTTAAACTCACGCCGGGCACATGTGCATACGTGCCCAAGATCCCTACAGGAGAATGGAGGAGAAGGGTTTGCAGCATTGGCCATCCCCTCTGGGAGTGATTTCTTGCTTTCTGTCTCTCTGTCTCTCTCTTTCTGGTGAGTACATGCACCCTATAGCAAAAACCTCTAAAAAAAGCTTAGAAAGTATGCTGATAAGATGCAGAATCTCCAGGTAGAGGGTAAAAATCAAGGAGAAATGCAAAACAAAGAAAAGCAAGCTTTTGCACTTTAAACACTAGTAAATAAGCCAAGTAAAGTTCATCACCAGTGAGCGAATTCTCCTATACTATTTTTAGGTCATTTTATTTATTTATTACATTTCATCACAGTGTGTAGCCTACCGAATGAATTTTCCCATCATGAATGCACTCCATATCGGTCCAGTCAAAGGCGTCACCGTAACAGTTATACCAGCAGACTTCCTTCCATTTCGGGTCCGGGAAATACTCTGCTTCCTTCTTCTTCCCCTTGATTCCCTCCCTCTCACCCTCATCTATTTCCCACCCTCCTCCCCCACTGTCTCCTGTGTCATCGTGGATTCTTATAACTACGTCCTATATTTTCAACACTTTTTACAGCCTCGTTTCTCCCCCACTGTCTCCTGTGTCATCATGGATTCTTATAACTACGTCCTATATTTTTAACACTTTTTACAGCCTCGTTTCAGATTCAGATTTAAAATATTAATCTTTTCAGGACAAGCAGTTGGCATAATGGCTATATTTCTGAACTCCCATGCAGTCAACTCCCATGCAGTCAACCGCAGTTCGAGTCCCAGACCCCGTGGCTTAAACTTACACTGGGTGTGTGCACGTGTGTGTCCAAGATCCCAAGAGGAGAATGGAGAAGGGATTGTGGTGTGGCCATCCCCCGGGGGGTTATTTCTCACTTTTTGTCTCTCTCTGTCTCTCTGGCAAGTGCACATGTCCTATAGAAAAAACCTCTGAAAATTTTTTTGAAAATATTCAAATATTCACCTTCTCACAGGGGGAGATAAAGGCCTTTTGGAATTATAGATATACAGAGACACAAACTGTTGGGAGACAAAACTTTCTGTCTTCTAAAGGTTAATTAATTGCGTCCAAAAAACAAGCTGGCAGTAGCGAGGTGGACAGCAGAAAAGGTCTACAAATGTATGACACCTATGAGGGCGTAGGAAACAGGGTGGGAACCCACCTAGTGAAGCTCAGACACTTACACACCTTCCACAGGACAGAGGAGAGTGGGCGTAAAGGCAGCTTAAGGGAGAGGAAATGATATCTAGAAAGAGAAGAGGTGACAGCCTGTGACAAAATCTGTCTGCGTGTGACACTGCCCTTTACTCTCTTCTCGTGCTGTGTGGTTACTTTTTCTCCATTGGTGAGATTCGCAGGGAAGAGACCGGTGACAGTTAAGCTCCTTCTTGGAAGCTCTCTCTTTGGGCAGGTCAAAGAAACTCAGAGAGAACCCCTCTCTGCCATTTGGGGGAGAGCACGGGGTAGAGACTGGCGGGTAGGAGCAGGTCAGAGAAACCTTGGATCCTGGTCAGTTCTGGCACTCGTACGATACTGAGTCAGACTTTGGAGTATCGGTTTCTAAAACCCAGCAGCAGGCAGAGGTCTCAAACTGCCTGACATGTTCCTGGAAGTGCGATTTATCTCGGAGACCATCATCTGTCTCTGAGGATGGCTCGAAAGTGTCTTCCTCCAGGGCTCTCTCGGGGCATCTGCAGAGTGGTGCTTGCCCTAGTGTGTTCTTGTGTCTACTGTGGTTCTGCCTCAGGACTAGGTAGATTTCCAGGGAGGCTGTGTCAATGAGATAGCTCTAATCTCTCCAGGGCATTGTACCCTTTCAAGTGCTTCAAAGTTGTGTGTGTTGGTTTCAGCGAATAAAATAGAGGACATGAATTATTAAATGAACAAAAATAAAAAACCTTTTGGAAAAGCAGAACCAATCTTTCAGACAGTTTTACCATGAAGGGAACAATGCTTTGCTTTGCTTTCTTTGTTTTATTTTATTATTATTATTTATATTCAATCACTGTCTATCATCACAGCATACAGAACTAATTTTCCCAGTCAGAATACACTATAAATCAGTCCAATCAAAGGCATAACCACACACATTATCATCAATAGATAATTTCCACTTTTGGGTCCCTTAAATGCTTTTCTTTGTTTATGAAAGGAACCGGATGAGCCCCAGGGCACCCGTGCATTAGTCTGATGGAATGCAATTATTTTGTCTTAGATGCTCTTGAGCACTTCTTTTCTCGGGGCACAAATGTAGCACGTTGTTTTATTTTATACGCTCTTTCCAAAAGTTAAAAACGAGAAAAATTCCTTGTGATCTGTAAGACACTAGGTAACTGGCAGACACTTAGAAGCACTACATGAAGGGAACTTCTTGACCGTATGTATTTCGCAACAACTTCCTCAGAGCTCTTTGCATGTCATTGTTCCTCAGGCTGTAGGTTACTGGGTTAAGTATCGGAGGTACCACCATGTAGAGCACAGAAAGTAGCCTGTCAACAGCAGACGGTATATTTGAGGGGGGCTTGAGATAAACAAAGTAAGCAGTTATAATAAAAACAGTGAAAACGATGAGGTGGGGGAGGCAGGTGGAGAAAGCTTTTGACTGACCATTAGTGGTAGGAATCTTCAGCACGGCGGAGAAAATATAAATGTAAGAGGTAACAATACAGACAAAACAAACCGTGGCCAGACATATACCAATTCCAAGACTTGCATAAACTATCTTTAGGGTTTCAGAGCAAGAAATCCTTAGCAATGAAGGAACATCACAGAAAAACTGTGGGATCACCTTGGAACCACAGAAAGGCATGGAAAATGTGCCGGCTGCATACACAGCTCCGAAGAGTCCTCCCATGGCCCAGGAAATACCTGCTCCCCACACACAGGCACCATCGTTCATGATGGCCTCATAGTGCAGGGGACGGCAGATGGCCACATAGCGGTCATAAGACATGGCGGTGAGGACAAATATCTCCCCTGCTGAGAAGGACGTCATTAAGAGTAGCTGGAAGGCACATCCCAGAACGGAAATGGAGTTGGTGTGAGTTAAACTGTTGACTGCGAACTTTGGGATTGTGACAGACACTAAGAAGACATCCAGCACCGACAAGTTCTTCAGGAAGAAGTACATGGGTGTTTGCAACTGTGGCTCCATGGTAGTGAGAGTGAGGATGAGAAGGTTACTTGCTAGGGCTGCCCCGTAAATCAGCAGGGAGAGACCTCCATATAACAGCTCCTGGGCGCTTGAGAGTCCCAGAAGAAGGAATCCTGTCACCAGGGTGACATTGGCCATGCCAGGTGACCCTCACCACCTGTCAGGTTGATAAGTAAGAGTCGTACTGATACACAGAACATTCAGCTGAAGAAGTCAAGTAACAACCATAAATATTTCTGCATTTACTTAAACATTTACTCTTTATTTTTTTCAAGGTAAATCAATTCCACAAGTAGTTTGCAAAGTTGATTGTAAGCATTTCTCCTAGTCCTAGCCTGAACCTTAATGTGTTACAGGGAAATGCAAACATGTTCCCAACCACTGTGCATTTGTATCTATTATTCTGCTATGCTTCATGGTAAATCCTTGCTTTCAGGTAAATGTCCAAAGTCTCATTTCTTTAGAGTGTGTTGGTATCTCTAATATTCTACACGGAAACAAAATGTCCACTGTCATATTGTTATTACAATCATACGCTCATCCTTGTACTAAATAACCCAACATAAGGGAATAACATTTTCTCTGCCCTTGTGGATATAAACAAGGACACATAAACGAGAATTTGTTGTTCAATGCCTTGTTACCTTGGGGTCATGCAATACTAATATATTGAATATCTCATTTACTAGGAAAAGAAAAAATGGAATTGTTAATGAAATACCAAATTGAATTATTTTTTCGAAATACCACACCTTTGAGTAGACACGTGAACACACTCTACAGTCACCTGGTTGGTGGGCTTCCTGGTGTCTGATTTGTTCACAGACCAATCTTGAGATGTCACCAGGACAGAACATGTTCTCCATATGGACTGAAGGTCTCTCTATCATGACTGCAACTCACCTTTTAATACTATCGAATATTTGTCTTTCAGTGTTTGGGATATTTCCTTAGATGACTAAGTACTGAGGCAAAATTATTCATTTCTTTACTGAAAAGATTAGAAAGTGCCCCAAATATTGGGTCATCAGAAAAGTCATGATGTGATGAGAGCTGAGATCTAGTGATTTCAGAGCTAAGGTGATGAAGATGTTCTGCTGAAAATTTACCTGGTAAAGTCCCTGTATCCTTCTCTCTGTCTCTCTCTTTCTCTTTCTGTCTCTCTATCTCTGTCTTTTTATTTGTAAAATTATTCTTTTAAAAAATTTTTAAGGTAAAGTATTTTCTTGACTCTGAAATCCTCCTTTTTCCTGGTAATAATCTGCTCCCCTTTCCCCTCCCACCCAGGCAAGCAGAAAGGGCAGGCCAGAAGAAGACAGAGCCCACCACGAGAGTTAAGATCTAGTGATTTCTAGTGGCACAATTGCACATGCACAGTTTTCACTTTTTGTTTTTTAAAATTAACAAATAAATAATTTTTTGTTTATTTGCTTGCTTTTTCCATTTTTCTCTTTTTTTGTTTTTCTCTTTCTCTGTTTTCTTATCCTTTTTCTTTTACCTCATCATTTTGCTGCTCAGCCTTCACCCACCACCCACTGAGTGTCTAGACAGCCTAAGTGAAGAGTTGCCAAAATCCAAATACTATCTGGGTCCACTGAATCTGTGACAGGAAGGGAGAAAAACGCAAAGCCAAAGAGTTTGCAGAGCACATCTCTTGTGCACCTCTGATCACTCAGATCTTCTAGAAATTAGGAAGAAATGAATAACCCATCAGATGACTAGTAATCACCGCAGGGGCACAAGAAACATGTGAAACCAAGAAAATGCCTCACCCATAAGGGAAAAGAATTAACTCCTCTTTATCCACAGACAGTATAAAGGAACACATGAAAATGTCTGATAAAGAATTTAGAGTATTCATAGTGACAAAGCTAACAGAGATGGAAGAGAAGACAATGAACACTAGAAGAAAAAAGCTGATGAGTTCTAGGAGGTGAGGAAGTTCTTGCGAAAGCTTAAATAGGAAATACACATCATAGATAAGAATCAAATGGAACTGTTGGAGATGAAGGCTATAATACAGGAAGTAAAAACCTCCCTTGAAAGTATTAAAAGCAGACTAGATCATACAGAAAATCAAATCTCAGATATAGAAGGGCTAATAAAATCCACCACAAAGACTGAGAAAATAGCCCCGATCCCAAATGAGATTAATATATAAGAAATACTAGTTACCATTAAACATCCAAACATCCAGATAATCGGTATTCAAGAAGGTGAAGAGAGTAATAAGGGCATTGACAATTTATTCCATGAAATCCCGGAAGAAAACTTTCCAAACCTAGAGAAGCATTCAAAGATACAGACCCAAGAAATACAAAGGACCCCAAATAGGATCAACCCAAGAAGATCATCTCCAAGACACATTATAGCCAGATTGACCAAAAACACAAAGGCAAGATACTCAGACGGGCAAGAGAGAAACATCAAGTTACCTACAAAGGATATCCCATCAGACTAACATTGGACCTCTCATCAGAAACAATGCAAGCAAGGAAAGAATGGGAAAATATATTCACAATGCTGAGTGAAAAACAATTTCAAACAAGAATACTATATCTGGCAAGATTATCCTTCATATGGGAAGAGAAGATAACTAGCATCAGACCAGCTCTCCAAGAAGTGCTGAAGGGAGTGCTATACCAGGAAAACTAAAGTCAGACACTCAGAAATAAGAGTTCTGAAACAGCTAAGAAAATGGCCAGCTTCATGGTACAGACATGTCCAGAGTTGAACGTTATCTTCCAGAATTTAAATGGAAAGATTGGACCACAAAAGAAGATAAAGAACATGAGTTTGAACTGGTGAAATATAATTTTATGACTTTTGACCAAAACATTACTGACCATCTATGGTTTGTTTCCCAGTGTTAAGGAGTTTTGTCTTCTCTTGAGTTGTGGACAGCTCCATGTACCTACTATTTTTTTTGAGAGAGAGATTTTTGCTATAGGGCGCGTGCGCTCGCCAGACAGACAGATAGAGACATAGAGACAGAAAGCGAGAAATCACCCCCCAGGGGCAATGGTCACGCCGCAATCCCTTCTCTTCCATTCTCCTCTCGGAATCTTGGGCACGCATGCACACGCACCCGGCGTGAGTTTTAAGCCACCGGGTCCGGGATGCGAACCGCGGTCAACTACGTGGGAGTCCAGCGACATAGCCATTATGCTAACTGCTGGTTCCCCATGTACCTACTATTCAAACAGAATCCGAACCTGTTTCCTGGCTTCAAGTCTTAAGCAAAGTTCTCTTAACATTTTTAAATTTTGATTTATTAAAGCTAAAACTGCCTTTCTTGAAATGAAAATATTTATTTTGAAAAATACCTGTTTAGTAACCACAGTAAGCTGTATAGCCTCAGCTATGTGCTACTTTATAGTATATTCATTCTACCCAGAGTTTCATGCCTTAAGTCAACTTTTGTTCACACATCTGTATATATCAGCTGAACTTACTATTGAAAGTATTTAGATTAAGATATTTTGTGATTCAATACAATGTGGGAAAGAATAAAGGAATGGAAAGCAACTGCAGATGCCAGAGACAGGGTAGGAGGAGGATTGGAAATGGCAGTGGATGAGAAATAGGTGGAATATATATATATATATATATATGAAACAGAGATGGAAAATTATTTGTTGATGATAACATGTATGATTAAGCCACTTTACAGTGTATTCTGGCTGGAAAATCGCATTTGGTATGCTGTGGTGATGTTCAGTGAAAGTATGTAAAATAAATAAACTAAGAAAAAAAAGGTAAAGTCATGATGTATTTTTCTGTCCAAAAATGCATTATGACTTTTCTGATGATCCGTTATATCAGACACTAACTATAATGGTGGAGGGAAAGAAAGGTGTTTTGTTTTGTTTTGTTTTTGTTTTCTGTTTGTTTGTTTGTTTCTGGGAGCTTACTCTCCATGGGAAGAGGCCTGTAATAAAGAACAGGTAAACCAGTACACAAAATCTGAGATGATGACAAGTGCTACTACGAGAAAAAAATGATTTTATTTTAAAGATTAAGCAGGAGGCTGGTTGAGACTAAAGGTGCATGGCTGGAGCTAACACTGCGATGAAGAAGGGGGGTTTATAGGAGATGCTGTGGAGACGTTTAGGAAGCACAATTTGAAAACAGAGAAAAGGCAGTAGCCGTTTGGGTCACATGTGGAGAAACAGTAGTGACCTGGCGGGTGTGTGGTCGCGCGGCAGGATTCTGAAGATCTGTACCAGCCTATCTCCCTGATAGAGAACTGCACAAGGGAACACCAGGGAGAGGGGCAGGAAACGACCATTACACTCCGCAGACCGAAGTTTTCTAAATATCTAAAAGATTTCATTTTTTTTTTTTTACTTTGAAACAGAGTATTTTTCACATTTTACAAATGGAAATTTTAAATGCATACCTGAAAATAGTTCCAATTTGCTACCCCTGAAGAAAGGATTACTTAGATGTACGTAAGGAGATAATTCCAAGAAGTTTACTAGAAGGTAGAAATTTTTCTCCAAAACAGAGTACAATATATCAGCCAATGACCTGAAAACAAAGCAGAACATCTACCTTCCTTGGGACGTTCTCTGTTGTAACACATAGCTGCACTCCCTAGGCTTCTCCGGAAGGACTCAGATCTCTGCAAAGCTGTGGTAGCTTCTTAACATGGAAGGAGATGTATTAAAATGATCAGAAAAGGTATTCGCCTTTATTTCAAAGTTAACGTCATTTGAAACCTTTTATGGTAAAAGGGTCTACAACAAATTATTTTTAAAGCACTTGGCTAATACCTTAGAATTCCCTAAAGGAAAAAGTTGTGAAAGTTTTTGAATAACCTCTTAAGTAATTATCTCTTAAACCATTAGCAATGTAGTCACTGGTGTTTTCTGTAGGCAAAATAGCTGAGGCTCCAGAAAACATTCTGAAATACTCCATGAAGATTATGACTCAGCCATTGACTGTAATAATAATAAGATACTTAAATAGTTCCTAACCCTCACTTATTACAGAGTTACAGACTACGGGATAGTGACACGCAAACTTTCTAACATAAAATAATAATTTGGGCAATAATTTGCGAAAGTAAAGATGCCTATAAATAGTCCTTCGATTCAGAGGGTCTCTGGTGAAATTAAACATGTACCTTTCCT